TATACAGAAGGGTCAGGGGTTCAATACCCGGTCTGGGCACATATCAGGATATGGGTTCCATTTCTAGTTTGGGTGTGTGAGGAAGGTAGCCAACTGAAATATCTCCTCACACTGATGTTTCTCTCTCTCTCTCTCTCTCTCTCTCTCTCTGTCTTTCTGTCTCCCTATCTCTATTCCGCTCTATCAGAAATTAATAATGAATAAATAGGAGTTTCAGGATAGCCAATTACATTACATCTGACACTATGAACCACAATACATCATAAGAGATGTTGGCAGATGACATGACCTTACATAGAGAAAATTATCAAGATCCTACTATAAAATTCTGAATTAATAAGCGAATACAGAGCCTTGGCAAGGTGACTCAGTTGGTGAGAATATGTTCCCAATGCATCAAGGTTGTGGATTCAATCCCCCATCAGGGCACATGCAGGGGGACAGCCAGTGAATGAATAAAAGGGTAGAACAGCAGATCATGTTTTCCTCTTTCTCTCTGTCTCCCTTCCTATGTCTGAAATCAATAAATGAAGCCCAGAGATTAAAAATGGTGTCAGAGAAGGAGGATGCTGCACGGACATGATCCCAGGAACAAGCTGGAATTACAACTGAAATACGGAAAGGCTTCCTGAATAATCAATGGAAAACTCGCAGGAGAGAACCCTGATACCCAAGGACCAAAGGTGGAGAACACATAGAGACTGCAGGAAGGGTTGAGATGCAAAAATGCTGGCTGGGCACCCACAGACTGCAACTGAAGTCCCAGAGAGATATCTCAGCGGTGGGGGGATGCCACTGAGAACTCTGGGATCTAATCCCTAAGCTGGGCTCCCCAGCAGACAGCAACAAAACTGAGGAGGGTACCCACATTACATCTAGCTGTGAAAAGCAGTGGGGTGGTGTCTACCAGGAAGTGACAGCTGAAAACTCAGGCATCCTCTTAAAGGGCCAACACACAAAAATTCCCTGTGGAGCCACCCACCTAGTGCTCTGGCAGAGGGGATGTGCAGTGGCCTGGAGCTGTAAGAGCAGAAGCCAGGCCTGATGACTCAGAGGATAGAGCTCAGAAGGCATACACCCTAAGTTCCCTGGACCGAGTCACTCCCTCACTCAGCGGATGACAACTTTCCCACACAGACATTTGCCTTGCCTGGGGGGAAGACAGTAACAGTTAGCCCTAGCCAGTTTGGCTCAGTGAATAGAGCGTTGGCCTGAGGACAGAAGGGTCCCGGTTCAATTTCCAGTCAAGGGCACATGCCAGGGTTGTGGGCTTGATCCCCAGTAGGGGGCGTGTAGAAGGCAGCCAAGCCATGATTCTCTCTCATCATGGATGTTTCTTTCTCTCTCTCTCTCTCTCTCTCTCTCCCTTCTTTCCTGAAATCAATAAAAATATTTAAAAAAAAAGTAACAGCCTCCAAGCAGAAGCAACTGCCCCACCCTGTTGAAAAAAAACTCTCACCACACCTGAAGGACGATTGCCTGGGGCAATTCAAGTTGGGATCCTATCAGTTTGAAGGCAGAGGCATTTCTGGAGGCTTTTAGTCTTTGCCTGATCCAATTAATCAGAAACAGCCTTTAACACTGTCCTGCACTAGAGATTGAGAGGTTTAGAGGATCTACCTAAAACATAGTCACAAACCCAAACAGACAACCAACATGAGGAAGCAAAAAAACAACCCACAAATGAAAGAACTAGAGAATTCTTCAGAAGAAGAGATAAATGAAGCAGAGATAATTTATCTGAAACAAAATTCAGAGTAATGATCTTAAAAATGCTCAACAGTATGAAAAAAAGATATAGTAACTATGAAAAAAGAACAGTCTGAGATAAAGAATGACATAACACAAATAAAGAACACATTGGAAGGAATACACAGCAGATTAGGGGAAGCTGAGGATCGAATCAGTTGAAAATATCACTCAATCAGAGAACCGAAAAGAAAAACAACTAAAAAACAGGAGGACAGCTTAAGGGAGCTGTGGGACAATGTGAAACGTAAAAATATTAGAATAGTAGGTGTGCCAGAAGAGGCAGAAAGGGAGAAAGGAATAGAGAAGGTGTTTGAAGAAGACCAAAACAAACCCACACCCAGACACATCATAATTAAAATGACAAAAATTAAAGACAAAGAGAGAATCTTAAAGGCAGAAAGAGAAAAGAAAATTACCTACAAAGGCTGACACCTGATTTCTCATCAAAAACTCTACAGGTCAGAAGGGAATGGCATGAAGTACTCAAGGTAATGGAAAGCAAGGATCTGAGACCAAGATTACTATATCTAGCAAGCATATCATTCAAAATAGATGGTCAAATAAAAAGCTTCCCAGACAAAAAAAAGCCTCAAGGAGTTCATCACCACCAAGCCAGCATTATAAGAGATGCTAAAGGGATTGCTGAGAAGAAGAAACAGAGAGAGAAACCTAGTCATACAGAATTAAAATGGCTGTAAGGTACCTTTTAATAATAACCCTAAATGTGAATGGAATAAATGTTCCAATCAAAAGGTGTAGGGTAGCTGAACGGATACAAAAACATGACCCAACTAGATGCTGTTTACAAAAGACCCACCTCAAAACAAAAGACACACACAGGATGGAAGTGAAGGGATAGAAAAAAATTTTTCATGCAAAAAATCTGGAGTAGCAATACTTATAGCCGACCAAATAGACTTTAAAAGCATCTTGCCTAGCAAAATAACCAAGTCGGAGAAAGATAAATATCATCTGATCTCACTCATTTGTGGAATATAATGAACACCTAAATTGATGAACAAAAACAGAACCAGAGGGGGGAAAATATACAAGAATATAATAGAAGAAATCCTGTTATTTTCAGATTTTTAATATTTCCTACAACTTTTGTGATTTTGGCAATTCCACAACCCAGGTACATGCCCTTGACCGGAATCGAACCCGGGACCCTTCAGTCCGCAGGCCGACGCTCTATCCACTGAGCCAAACCGGTTTCGGCAACTTCTTTTATTCTTGAAATATGTTCATTGCATGTAATATTACTATATGTAAGGTCATTTTTCTTGAATAATTTGTTTATTGCATGTAACATCATATTTAAAATCGTTTTTCTTGAAATAAAAAAAACAACAACTGGGAAATTAAATAAATAAATAAAGCCCAGCCAGTATGGCTTGGTGACTGAGCATCAACTCATAAACTAGGAGGTCACTGTTGGATTTCTCGTCAGGGCATATGCACAAGTTGTGGACTTGGTCACCAGAGGTGTGCAGGAGGCAGCCAATCAATTATTTTCTC